AAGTCCTTTTGTCCCTTCCCCCGAGTTCCACGGAGTTGATCGGCGGAGAGCCCCAATCGCGCAAGGATCTGTCCGAACTTTCCTTCTTCCACGGTACAGGGTATACGAACCTCAGTGGCACCTGCTTTGGACAAGTTTTTGAAAACCCTGCCAAGTCTTTCCCGCACCCTAAAGCTGATCTGCCTCCGGTGCGGGAACTCCAAAGACTCGAGAGGCACCCGCACAGTGCCTAGGGACATTCTGATTATGAGTTGTGGGGTATTCTAGACGCCGAAACACACTTAGTCACTAGAAAAGGCATTTTTGAAGACAGACTTCTCTACGATATGCCCGTGGTTAACCGCATCTTGGTGGGCTGCCGGAACGAGAACGCGGAATGGAACAGGAACGAGAAAGGGGCTTACACTTTCTGTAGAAAGCCGGAGACGCCTCCGCCTCTCAAACTAGTCATCCTCGTTCTTCGGTGCAGCAGCCAGCAAGCTGCGTGCCTTAGGGGGGTTCTGGTTTCTCGCCATATGCCCATGTTAGCGGTTGGCTACACCTTGGTGGGCTGCCGGAACGGGAACGGGAACACGAATCGGGACGGGAACGAGAAAGGGGACCTCGGGGACTAGCTAAACCTATCCCTAAGCGGCGGTGAAAACGAAGACAACAGGGGAGGATCATCAAGGGGGCGACATGAGCCATGGTTATCGAGGGGTTGTTGATCAACAACAGTAGCAAGCCACTTTAAAGTACTTTTGTTCAACTATACATCTGTGTCGCTTTGCTCTATCACGTCTGATGAATGCATTATCTAACCAACGTACTGTACCCTCCACGCGACTGTGCCATGCCTCCCAAACCGAGCCAACGCCGTATTCTACTTTCTCCGGTGAACTGAACATCTCACCGGCAATTGAATCGTATACTTGCCCGGTCAAGGCGTGCCACCGTTTTGTGCCTGTCCAGAATGTTGTATGCGATGATCTGCTCGTAGAAACCGATCTGGGTGCCCCAGCTGATGGTCGTCGTGACAAACTGACCCATGGTTGGGCTCATTCGACGAAGAGCTTACCGTTTCCTCGGCTCCTGTGACGGGCTCAAAGGCCTACATTTTGATAGCGATGATCATACGGTTGGGCTCGGCTTCGCTACTCTCTTGGTAGTAGCTGGACTCTTTCTCGCATCCTCGCCGTCCCCCTCGAGGATTTTGAGTAAAAGTAGGCGCCGCGCCCCTTGCGGTCCTTTGCATACGGATCGGCGCTGTGCTCCAGCAGAAAGTTCACGACCTTCAGCCACCCCTAGAGTGCGGCCTCCATTAGCGGCGTCCGTCTACCTCTGTCGACATTTTCAAGGTCGCCACCCTTGTTGTAAAGGAACTGGATTATATTGTTATAGCCTTCAGCTATAGCCAGGGCGATACCGTTGACACCGTCCTTATTTCTCTAGCTGACGAACGGATCATCTTTGTACGTCTCTAATAGAGACGCGAACTCCGCGTACGTCGTAAAGGATGCAATGCGAACTGAACAGGCTCTATCGATAATTCCTATCTTATATAAGCTCTGTCTAGATCTATCGAACGAGGGGGGCTTTAGTATTTTCGTATCGCCGATGTTAAGCTACGCGACCTGGCCTCGAGTATTTGCGGCTGACCGTAGTTGCTATCGTCCCTCCCTGCTTGTAGGCTCTAGAAATCCCTGTTGGCTTCGTCGGCTTCCTCGCCTTCGTCCTCTTTATCGACTTCCTCATCTTCCTCATCCTCGCTCTCCTCGACCTCATCGTTATTGGGTAACGCGACGGCGACGTTATAAAGAGGCCCCTTGCCTTGTCGATCCTGTAGGGGTACTACGCTTGAGACTGCTCTTCGAACGGGTAGCAGTGTTGTTAATTCGCTGAATTTAGACCGCAATGTGCCGCCCGAGTCTGGCCTGTTAGGATCCCTATATCAAATCTGCACCTTTGTCTCCTAGCTGGGTATATCTTGAGTTGCTACGACTGCGTTATACCTGGAAGATGGATATTCCATTGCTTATCGCGGCCGATAACCAGCAGCGGCTAATCTTAGAGAAGTAGCGAGTGTCATCAATCAGATCCACGTTAGTGGCGAAAAGTAAAAAGAGTATAAAGCAGATGTAGCTCCCAGGCCCTTCGCTTAGCAGAGATACAGATATATAGAACATTCAACGATTATAGAAACCCATCACTCCACAAAAGCAAACCGAAAGAACGTCACTTGGCCAGAGGCATGTCCTAGGATGAGTGTCTGGCCGCAAACCGCCACACATTTTGCCCGATAGTCGGTGGGAAGCCAAAGAACCCTCTTGCCGTTTCTTGTAACCCAATCATCGCCGACAAAGAGAAAACTGCTAGCGGGTTTCTGGCCTCCAGAGCTGCTTGAAGCGTCGGAATTTCCAGTTATGCTCAGCAACCCCCGGTTTGTCTCAAGACATTGACCATTCCTGGAAAACGCCACTGCCGTGACCTGATCGCCATGCCCCTCGAGCGTCTGGCGGTGCGCGCCAGTCGCCACCTCCCAGAGCCGGACCGTCGTATCGTTTGAAGCCGACGCGAGCGTCCTGCCGTCCGGCGAGAACGCCACTGCCGTGACCCAATCGCCATGCCCCTCGAGCGTCGCCCGGGGCGCGCCAGTCGCCGCCTCCCAGAGCCGGACCGTCGTATCGCCCAAAGCCGACGCGAGCGTCTTGCCGTCCGGCGAGAACGCCACTGCCGTG